TTCTTTAGCTCTTCACAAAGTAAGTGTGCATTTTTTGAAGAAGGCAAAGCCTATTTCAAGAGTTAACTAGCTCTGAGATTTAAACAATAATCCTAATTCTGCATTTCCATCCACACAGTTATAACAAGCACATAAACAGGAAGTCTCCAGTACTTTGTTCTATGCATCCTCAACCTGGGCTCCATTCCTAGGCCATCAACTTGCCCTTTTCATTCCCTTTATACTGTTGCTACTATAGTGACAAAATCGTGCCCAATGGAAATAGATTGTTAGTTACCTCTTACAAAGTGCTTTTTCTGGTCATTTGCATCTTACACACAGTTTTGTGCTGCTCAGAAATATAAGATAATAGGAATATGTTTTATACCATTGGTCCATCTACTGCAAGACAGTTTAGACTGTTAGTAACTTTCCAGAGAAGATACTACAAATCGGACCTGGGCCTTCTGCTTTCAAAGTACATGCTCTACCACTGATACACAGTCCTCACCCTGTTAATAAGCAATGTTAATGTTGCTTATTTATACAAGTCTTCACCATGCAACTGCAAGCCTGGACAAACAAAATAAACAACATATGTACTATCTCTTTTTATTTATTTAAAATGCTCATGATTTTCATTCCAAATATTTAAATAAACCCTGAAATTAACCAAACAGATGAGCAAAGATACTGATTATCAGAAATGATTATTTTCTTCTTCTTTTATCAACCAGCCTACCCAGCTTCTATGCTAATTAATTGTGAAGGAATTAATTTCCATTTGAAGTGTCCTTAGACAAGCCACCCTCAGAGGGAGGCACAGACAACCCTGCGTATGGAACAAATCTTTCCAAGGAAACCCTGTGATAGGGGCCTTAGGGTGCCAGAAGTAGGGAACAACCTGAAGGGACACAACATTGACCAGAAAGAGGTGGCTAGCAGCAGCAGGGGCCAAGGACTGCTGGCCACCTGAGGTGGCATTGCTGCTTTCATCTCTCTTCAGAAAGGATCTGTGCCCCACATTTTCTTAGCCCTGCCCATGCCTGATTGCCTCCCCCAGACATTGCACAGCCGTTTGTTGTAGTTCCCTCCCTCATCTATCCAGCCTTTAGGGTGAGCACAAACATTTATGCCTGCCAAAATGCCTTCTTGCCTTTGCTTCATTCTTTACATTCTTTGTTACATGCCTCCTAAACATTGCCCTCCACTTATCCACAGGTCATATCAAAATCCATAATTCTGGTCCCAAGACCTGCCCTCAACTTATCCACAAGTATATGCGGTAACTGCTGCTCTTTCATGACATCCTAAATCTGTTTCCTGAGAGTGTTGCCTCACCCTGCTTATTGGAAGGGTCATATTTAAGGCTGAACAGCATCTTGGACTATGTCAGTGCAAAAAAATGTGTGCTAAATGACATCACCCCACCATCCCATGTTATATTTTAACAAGTTCAGTACTGAAACAGTTTGGAAAAGTTACTTGGCTGGTATACAACTCCTAGAATCCTGGACTGGTCATTCTGGCTGGCAGTGCTGGGAGCTATACTCCAAAACTGAAACTTTTCAAAGTTCTGATACTGATATTCAACTCATAGAGAATAAAAGTGCAATACCGGAAATGCTATGTAGAAAGTAAAGTAACCATTGGGATAAGGAGTAGATAAGAATGGATGTAGCATGGACTATTTCAATCTGCATGTCAGTGCAAAAGCTTTTGTCTAATATTTTGTCTAAAAAACTGCCATTCTTCAGACTTCTTCTCCCATGACAGGAACTTTATTACAAGTATGTACAACAGGAATGGCAAAGACCAGTTTTATTCTACCAAAAATACACCATTCATATTCTATAATGTAAAACACTGCTTATCTTTACCCCTTTCAAAAAGTCGAACAGATTCCATAAGGTAAGGTACAAGGAGCCTGTTCACAATAAAGCCCGGGGTGTCCTGTGAACAGAAAAACGGGGATTAAAATAGAGCGGTATTACAATACAATAAAATATTTAGTCCAGAAAAAGGGAAGTCTAGAAAGCTTGAGCATTGCAAAAACAGGTTTTTTGGAGGAGAGGGAGCTTTGAGAACCCCTTGCTTTATACACATTCCAACAGAGCATCACAAAGCCTCAAGGGAACCTGAAAAACAGTTGTTGCCTCTTCCTCCTTCTCCTTCCTCAAAGTCAAGAAACTTACCATGGGGCAGGAAGAAGCAGTGGGCATACTCAGGTTCTTGCAGTGTACCCATTTTGGCTGAAGCAGCAGCTTACCTCCCAACTTTGAAAGATCTAAAACTAATGAATATGCTTCCTAGATTCCTGGTAACTAAAGCATGAAATAGCATATTAAATGCAACAATACTATCTATAACAGTCTGAGAGGTAACAGTAACATGACATTCCTTTTGCAAAAATAATGTCTGGTAATGTTGTAACTATTTCCCTGTGTGGCATATAACATTTACTCATTACTTTTTCTGGATTTAAATATTTGGGAGAGCATTTTGACATGATTTTCTGAAATGTTAGGCTGAGATATTGACCATAACAAGCTACTTATTTAAGTTCTGCAACAAACTGTATAAATAATTCCTTTTAAGTTCCCAAGCTCTGCAGATACCACCAAAGATGTATTTCTGTTTCTTACACAGAAATTTAATTTATATTTAATTTACTAATAAGCAAGCTACTGATTCCTCTAAATGGTATTCTTTATTTAAATCAGGGATGGCCAACTTATGGCCCCCTAGATACTGTTGAACTACAACTCCCATCAATCCTGGGAGCGAAAATCCAATAACATCCAAAGAGCTTTAAGTTGCATATGTTTAATTTAAATGAAAAGCTTGGCTTTGTATTGTGTTAAAATAGGGGAAAAAAATCTTTATTTTGGCAAAGTCTTAAGCTCTCTCTTCCTACTTAGATCCCACTCCTTTAATTTAAAATATACTTGCCTTGCATACTACTGGAGTCTTCCCTAATGTTTTGCTGAAATCCATGAGGGACTCAAAAGTCTTTTGGCTGGTCATAGGGGTCTTGACAACCTGGCAACAAAAACATAATCAAAGTGAAGGGAGACCATCATCTCACCATGTCAACAGTAAATTGTTGTTGTAGTTGTATTTCTTCAAGTTGTCTCCGACTTAGGGCAAACCTAATGTGAACCTATCATGCGTTTTCTTGGCACAGTTTGTTCACAGAGGGTTTGCCTTTGCCTTCTTTGGAGCATGTGAGAATGTGACTTGTCCAAGATCAACCTAGTGGATTTCCATGATCAGGCGGTAATTGGAACCCTGGTCTCCAGGGTTGTAGTCCAACGCTCAAAGCACTACACCACACTATTGCTCCAACAGTAAGTTATTATTTTTATAAAATGTATTGTTTATTTAATGTTATCTTTCATAAAACAGAGTACTGTACAACCGAATGACAAATAAACCATGCTTTGTTCCTTCACTTCCTCCAAGCAAATAACTGAAAAGGAATAATTTTCTTTCCAACTCTCTTTCAACTATTCAGATACATTTATAAGCACTATGAAGAGAAGCACTCTGCAATTTTTTTTAGTGTAATGGCAGTTTTGAGAGCATGCAACATTATAATACAGGATCCCTTTAAAGAATGGTAACTATATGCTTAGTTCCAGAATTGGGAGGCCATAGAGGAAAAGGGCTTACTCTCTCATATCCTGCATGTGAGCTTACCTGGATGGTCACTTCAAGAAGACCCAGATAGGCTTTTGGTCTAAAATCAACAGCAGTCTTTTTATGTTCTTAATTAGGAAGGAGCCTATATAAAAGCCTCAGAATATCATATAGGGTGCACTGGGATGTCATATTCAGTTAAGGTATGTTGCCTTGAGCTAACTGAAGGAGATGCATGACATAAATGTAACAATAAATCAGGTTTGTGGGGGTGTATGTGCTGATAGAAAATAATTAGTGCATTCATCAGCCTTTCAAGTTGCTGTCAACCACATGGATAGGATGTACAGTCACCTTTAGTCTGATATTAGAGTTGTCTCTGTGGGATGAAAGCTACAAAGAGCATGTGCAAGAAATATGAATTCTGCCTCACTCTTATTTACAGTTTCACAACAGTTTACAATGCACCCACTATGACGCTGCTTTTACAACCATTCCAGAACAACTTGCTTCCCAAAATTTCTTCATTTGGGTGGGGACTGGAGGAGAGAGAAAAGGATGATGTGCCTGTCCTACTTAAGAAATGTTTGAGGATAAGATCTGGCAACTTAACTCAAGAGGTTTTTGTCTGTTTGCTCAATTATTCACTCCCAGCATCAAGGCAAAAGATGGAATAGCTCAAGTTCTAATTGCTGACCTGACATAATAGGACTACTTTGATTTTAAATATGAAATTGCACATATATTGCACATATAAGAAACAGCCATTTTGTTCCATGCATACAAACAAGTGGCAAAGGAATGCATGACCCACAATGCAGGAAGCAAGATATGCTTAGGTTGCAGCACTTAAACTCTGCTTTAAAATGTTAAAACTACTTATGGGTTGTTGGAAAGGCAGGGATTTTATGTGCAGTGGTGCTTCCACTGTGCACTAAATCAGTGCTTCTCAGGCTATCAGATTCAGGGATTGGAAACTTTTTTTCCAACATGCAGGGACTGGCAACTAAATTTGTGTCCATTAATTACAGCTGTTTCTTTCTTTCCTGAAAATTTGTCAGGGACACGCAGACAGTAGCACAATGACTGACAGAGGTCCAGAGACCACACTTTGAGTAGCACTGCTGAATTGTTTTTAGACATCTACAACTATGTGGACACAGATGACTGTGAATCTGTTCTCATGTAAAAAAATCTTGACTGTAGGCTTTTAAGCATCACATAAGCTGTCTATACAGACATAGATTCCTGCCTTCTGACTTATAACAACCCTAATGTGGTTCAGCTTAGGGCTTTCTTGGTAACACTTGTTTAGAGGTGGTTTGCCCTTGTCTTCCTCTGAGGCTGGTACTTGCCAAGTGTCACCCAGTGGATTTCCATGGCCAAGCAAGGATTCAAACCTTGGGCTTCAGAATCCTAGTCCAATGCTTAAACCACTACACCACACTGGCTCTCTCCCTCCTGTAAACAGTTTCTATTTAAAGGGCACTACTAACACAGACAGCTATATATAGCCAGTTATATCTGGTCAGTGCCTTCATTTTTGAGAGCCAGTGTGGTATAGTGGTTTGAGTACTGTACTATCGACTCTGGAGACCAAGGTTTGAATCCCTTCTCAGCCATGGAAACAACTGAGTGACCCTGGGGAAGTCACACTCTCTCAGTCTGAGAAAAAGGAAGAGGCAAATTCCCTTTGAACAAATCTCCCTCGGGGGGGGGGGGACCAGAGGGTTGCCTGATTGTCGTAAATTGGAAATTATCTGAAGGCACATAACAAGAACCACCACTCTGATTTTAAAGCTCTAAGTTGTACCTACTAGTATGAGACTCAAGTTTTTATTCTGATATGAACTCAAGTTGTTAAAATTATGATACAGAAGAACATCTTCACAAAGGCTATAGACGCCTGAACATGTCATCCTATTCCTTCAACTCACTGTCTCATGAACAGAAGGAGAATGGCAGTCACCTTGCACAGTGGTAGGAAGTAATACATATTGGCCAAGATGCTGTATCAAGAACCACAGCTATGATGTCTCTCAATTTTATCCCCCAAAATCCTATTTCTGAAGCCTCAAAGCACCCCCACCCACCCACAACCCAGCCCTTTCTGAGACACTGGATTGCTGGGAGGTGACACTTGGCCAAGTCAATATAAAGATATATTCAGCCCTTTTCCAGTGAAGGTGTGCACTGAGACAGACAGTTGCAGAGAACCTTATGGAGCCCTATTGTAGCTGTTTCACCATGTCTTTGCCCTTGTGTAAATGTTGAGCTTCTTTTGAACATACCAATAAATCCTCAGGAGTCCCACTTTAGATCAATTATTTTTGGCACTTACCAGAAAAGTTTGTTATTACAGAAAGGGATATAGCACACTCCCCAGTGCAAGTACTTACTCACTGCCTCGGCTGACGACTAAAAGAGTCGTCTTCCGGGCAGGGAAGAGGAGGGGCAGCCGCACGAGCGGCGGCCCTTCCTCCTCCTGAGGTCGCCCCTGGAAGCGCTGGCCATCCGCACGACCGGCGCTTCCGGGTTGCCCTCACGCCGCGGCAGCCGAACGCGCCGCAGCATTTGAGCCAGGGAAAGTGCGCCCGCCGCTTTTGGGGCGCACTTTCCCTTAAATCTAAAAGGAGCGCCAATTTGGTGCTCCTTTTAGATGCGCCGCAGGAGCGCCGCGGTCCGGAGGCTGAAATCCTGCGGCGCTCCGGACCAGGGCGTCTCCGATGCCCTGGTCTGCATCCCCCCTCAATCACTACATTAAAATGAAGTTTTCACTTTAGGTCAGAATAGCAGCAAACAGAAAGAATTCCAGCCATACCACAATACCTACTTTGGGCTCCCCCCCCCCCGCCATCCCTTACCTCCACAAGTTTCATCAGAGGCACGGGATTAAAGAAATGGAGGCCACCGAACCGGTCCTGCCTGGTGGTAGCATTGGCTATATCTGTGATTGGCAAAGAAGAAGTGTTGCTAGCAAATATTGTATGCCTGTGGGGAAAGAACATTCACTTCACATTAATTACAGCTCTCCATGCTCAGTGCTCTCTATGTTGCTACTATATAAATTTAAATGCAGACACAAATACAGTACTTGGTAATCTCATTCTTAAATACAAAGAGCTTATTTCCAGGTAGGTTTTATCCTAGGTAAAATAATACTTGGAGAAGGTGATCACAAAATAGAATGAGTGCCTGAACATAATGAGTACCTAAATATACATAAACTAGTACAGAACCTAAATTTAAATAACCTCCTACATTTAGAAAAGGGTGTATCATAAGGCTTATAACTGCAGCAGGGAGGATTTGGACATGCACCATGTCCATGATGGAATGCATACTGAACCAAACAAAAATAAAAATGAACCTTAGCCTTTATAATCAATGTATTTGGAAATATCAAATAAAATTTCGGGAACACAGTAGTCATCGTTAGGCATTCATGGATCTCAAATCTTTCCTTCAGCAGTTTGAAAGAAACCACATGGTATGCTTTTTTAAAGTTCAGATTTCAGTGTTCAGCTAGCTTTACATCCTTTTAATCCAAATATGACTCTAAATCCCATAATAAATCTTATTCCCACATCTGCAGCACCACCTTATGGGATATATAACAGAAAAGAATGTGATTAAGAAGCACAGCAGGCTGCTCATTTCTACTATCACTGGTAGCTTAAATTTCAGAAAAGAGCCGTAAGTCCACTAAATATAAAACAGCTCCTATACAGTGTCTTGTCTTTACCTAACATAATGGTACCGGTAATAGTGTTTCATAGCAACAAGCAAAATAATTGGTAGGAAGGACAAACTCAAAATCTATTTCAGTGACATGAAAGGTTTGCCTTAGGGTCTCCATAAATCAGAAAATGACTGGAAGGTACACAACAACAAAAATTAACAAGAACATTAATTGTGGATTTAAGTTCACCACCTGATGAACACATAGGGCTGATTAGCAATTAGTGAGGACTTTAAAGCATATACTGCCATGCAAGCTGCACAGACACAGCAGTTAAAGATACATTTTCAAAGTATTAAAGTAATTCTACTGAAAAACAGCTTTGAAAAAAAAATGCACTTGAATTTCATAAAATATGCCACAACCTGAAAAAAAATACACTTTAAATTGAAGCTCAGGATAATAGCATATATTTTCATTTTTTTTAAAAAAAAAAATCTACCATTCTCTTGTTAACACGCAGTTACTTGATGGTCAAATAGTTAGAATTGTTTGGATTGCCTTCTTAAACATACTTCACTCCTCATAATAAGATTTGTGCACATGCAGTAATAAAAGTAACCTAAATTGAGCTACTTTACCCTAGTTAACAGAAACTACCATCTTAGCAGATGACTGCTGTGAATGGTACTGTTTTCTACTATGGAAGGAGGTAGACTTTGGTAGTCATCAGGCTGCCTCTAAACAGCCAAGAACAACTAACTGCAACAAAATATCATTTTGTACCTTCATCCCTATGAGTTCCTATTAAGGATTTCTAACAGATAGGAATGCCTTTCTCCAGGATATTTCATTCCATTCCATCCTACCACCTCAGTTTCTGTTTTTATTTTTCAAGTGGAGGGAAGTGACCCCTGAGTGGCATGAAAATGGAAATTTCTACATCTGCAATTTTCAGGGTTTCCCAAGCATGCCCAAAACTCTTGGTTTTCAGTGACCTTATTTTGGCTTTACAGCCATCAGCATCCACATCTGAGCCCATCATTAGTGATAGTGATATTTATACAGCAATCTGCAAAATATGCCTTTTAAATTGCCCTATATTATATTCATTTTTAGCCCTGCAGCCTATTTAGCTGATTAATTAAATCAGGCTAGAATTAACTTTCTGATAGCATTCCTCATTTAAAAATATAATTCTTCAAAACCTATGGTAGCAGTGAAGATTAAACCTATACAGCGTAAGCAGCTGGAGGCATGGGTGGGATTTTTCTTAAATAATTCATTGAAGGGTGGTTCTTTGGTATAGGAATATCTTTTTAATCTTTCCTCATAAGCAGAGAATTGCTCCACCTTCATTTCCTTCAGAAGTTAATATCTTCACTCATTTTTCAGATATCTCTCAGTGAGAGGATCTTCAAGTTATAAGTTATCACAGAATTATTTGTGTGAAAGTAGTATAAGCTTCCAAACTTGCCGCAGAACTGAATCTTCATACAGCATGTTTTATTTGAAACTCATGTCTGGTTTCACTATTGGCCAAGTGGCCTTGAGAGTAATTTCCTTTTTTAACCTACTGTGCTTCAAAAGCTTAAATGAAAGACCGTTAATGGCAAAAATATAGATGTTTCACCATATGAGAAAAACACTAGCAGAACAACTGAGCTACTGAATAGCCTCAGCAAGTTCATTTCTTTTGAACATATTAGTGATCTCTGAGCTAAACGGTGGCCTGAAATTAAAAGGTGTTTTATTCTTCCTTCCTACACCCATATGCTATTTTTAATCTTAGGTCCCAAAATGATGGATGATAAGTAAGGAGGAACAGGAAACGGTACATCTACTGGTCAAGTATCTGGAATTTTCTTTATCACACTCCTACAATCAAGGGAAGAGCATTTATCTTCTCCCATATAATCTGCCCTGTACACTTAGGTCCTCTGGGGGATATTTACTTCAACTGACCAGAACCAGACTGGCAACTGTCACCCAGATGACGTTTTCACTGACCGCTTCCAGACTGCAGAATGACCTGCTGGGAGATTTTCAACAGCTAAATATGCTGTTTAAATTTAAAACAGTATTAAAGACCTATCTCTTCCAGCAGACCTACCAAGTCTGTTTTAAATTATGAATTTTAAATGGGTATATTTTTAATTTATGTTGGATGATTTTAATGTGTCCTGTGTTTATGTGTCTTAACTTAATGTGTTTAAATTGTTTTATGTGTTTTATTCTATGTTGTACCTTGCCTTGAGACTTGGAATATTAATAACAATAGCAGCAGCAGCAGCTGGTGCTGCTGCTGCTGCATAGGAGATTATGGCTCTACCACCCTCATGAAATATAAATAGTTCTTTAGAGCAGACTACAGATATGAATGACCTCTTTAGTTTTGGAACTGAAGAACATACTCTGGTGCAAACTTATCCAGTGTCTTGAAGAGTTCATTTTTTGCTGATAGATTTTCCACAATGGCCTCCACTACAAGGTCAGTACTATGTACAACAGAGACTGGATCTGTGCTTGTGGTGATATTCTTCAAAGTTTTCTCAATGAATTCTGCACCAGCCTGAGAAATTGGAGAAAGAATAAAACCACAGAGTATTTAATTCATTGTCACAGGAAGGATTCCCATTTCAGTTGCAACATGCTCCAACAAAGAAAACAGTAAGTGCTCTACAGCAGTGATTCCCAAGCCATTTGATCTCAAGGACTGGCAACTTATTTTTCCAATGTGCTAGGGATCAGTATCATATTTGTGGGATATATTATACTGTGTTTTAGTCCTATAAACTGGCCAGAGACCAACAGCTGACAGTTCATGGATTGGGACTGGTCCACTGATCACGCCTTTGAATAGTAACAGTATTATGATACCCTGTTAAATGTGTGCAAATGCTATACTGGCCCCGATTCCTAAAACAATGCTGCATGTTCAACAAGTATATAAACATATAAACTTGTAAACTAAATTACCTCACAGAAAAGAAAGTAGTCTAACCTAGGATGCATCTTCACTGTAGAAATAATGCACTTTGACACCACTTTAACTGTCATGGCAAAATCCTACAGACTCCAGGAATATGTAGTTATGTGAGTCACAAGCACTCCATGGCAGAAAAGGCTAAAAATCTTGTAAAACTAATCCCAGGATTCCACAAGTTGGAGCTACAATACTTAAAGTGGTGTCAAACTCCATTATTTCTACAGTATAGCTACACCCTTAGTGGTAATAAATGTCCAAATTCTACATCCTAGGCATACTTTCACCATCACCATCATGTGGAAATTCTTTTCACTTGACCTCTACACAGCTTCCTTTTAAATGGTTGGTACTGGCCTTTTTGCTGATGGAGAAGGAGCATTCCAAAACCAAGGATCGGAGATTCATTAAGAGCCTGGGAGAAAGTACTCCAAAGGGACAGTGTCTCTAGCATACCTGAGTCTAATCTCTGTTTCCCATCCAGCCAATCTAATGTAGTTTCCAGCATCTCTTGAATATATGCACATCTAGCAAGTGGCTATCTACAAAAAGCAGTCTTATCAATGTATATTTAAGAACATGGATTTTGCATGCAAAGCCTTTTTTTAAAAAAATAACTTTGATTTCTTTCATCTTTACAAGCCATGTTATTTTGTTAAGAGTCAAGACTATGGATACAGCAAGCCATTCTATGAACTCAAGTTGGAGGGCCAAATACAGCAGATAAAAATGCTGCTGCATGGAAAACCCTTCATACACATCCTATGGGGGGGAGGTAAGGGAGTAGGATCAGGTTATGCCGGCAATGACAATAATATGTCAATAGCTAGGTGTGAGCATCCAATCCAACAGGAGTCTTTGTGTGCACTGGGTAAACAGTTGTTTTCTCCCAAAACTGCCTTTTGCATTCATAAACACATGTAGAAAGGTGATCTGCATACTGAAGTTTGCTTCTGCTTGTAATTGCAGTGGGGAAGGGATATTTATCAGCCTGTTAACTCACCCCAGCTCTTGAAAGGAATCTGTTCAAAATACTGTACAGATCTTAACATCACTCCAGGCATTAAAGATCAAAAGAAACAAACAAAACAGGTTTGTCACATTCAACAACCACCATATCCAGTATTTATAAATATTAAGTTATACCTCAGGTTTGTCTGCAAACTTTTTCTTTGTCAGTTTTTTCAGACTGTCTTGAATTCCTTTCTTGGATTTATTTAATATTTCATCTGACTGATCCACTAATATCACTGTGTGGCCAGTGGCTGCAGCAATCTGTGAAAAGGGGGAAAGATACCAAAAAGAAGTCAATAAGATGGTGGTGGTGGTAGGGGGAGGAATAACCCACAAAACTCAAAACGTATGAGTAGAACTCACTGCACATTTATATCCCTTAGTAAATTTATATCCACCTTTTCAGCCATAAGTTCAAGAAGGAATGTTTAGCTTGCAGAAGAGAACATGTAAGAGCTAATTTTAAATATCTGAAGGGATGGCATGTAGAAGATGAAATGAGCTTGGTTTTTGCTGCTCCAGAGACTAGAATATAAACCAGTAGATTCAAATGAGAGAGACCAAGAGAGAAAGAGAGAGAGATTTCAGCTAAACATTAGGAATATTTTTTTAATTGTAAGAGCTGGTTGACAGTGGAATAGATTGCCTGAAAGGTGGCCATATATTCAGAAGACAACAATATAATTCCATGTTAGTCAACCTCTGGTTTTGTTCATGTCATCTATGAAAATTTAAATTACCAAAAATAGGTTTCTCAACTGAAACAAAAAACCTCCACCTTTGGAGGTATTTAAACAGAGGTTGAATGGGCATCTTTCAGGACTGCTGTAGTTTGGTATATCTGCATGCCAAGGGATTGAATTAGATGATCCTTACAGTTCTTTCCAACTCTTCACTGCCCTTTTTTCTATCCACAACCCTTTTGGGGATGGTTTAGAGAACATGCCTGGCTCAAGGTAGCCCAGTGAACATAATGGTAGAACATAAATGCAAACACCTTCTTCCCTTCACTACCAGTCCACTACACCAACTTGGCTTTTGGTGATATGGCTTAGTGGTTTGAGTGTTGGGACTATGATTCTGGAGACCAGGGTTTGATTCCCAGCTTGGCCATGAAATCCACAGGGTGACTGTGGGCAAGTCACACGCTCTTAGCCTCAGGGCAAGGCCATGGCCAACCCCCTCCAAACAATTCTTGCCAAGAAAATCCCATGATAGGGCTGCATTAGGGTAACCAGGAATGATCTGAAGGCACACAACAAAATCAGCACCAGTCTCCGTAGAGCAGGAATCAGCAATCCATGGCCCGGGTCCGGCCCCGAGGCCTTTGGACCGGCCCCCGCCAACCCCCACTGCCATTGTCGATTATTTTCGCCGCCAGCGCGCGCGCTGACGCCGCACGTGTCGCAGCTGCTACCGTATTTTCC